TTAAGCTACCGAATGAACAGGCATCCGGTTAAATGACTGAATGCAGAAGCAAGGAGGCTAACGGCTCAGCGGTGTTCGCGCAAATAAGTGTCAGTTTCCAGTTCCATAGTATTGGCGCTGAACACCGCTGGCCATTCGGGACTTTAAAATGGCCACCGCCACGTGTTCGGCAAACGAACAAAGGCCACCCAGCACTTGTCAATTAAGCTGTGGTTAACCGCAGCTTCTGGGAGGTAAATTGCCGACACATTCCAGCTCCCAGGTGGTCCAGTCATTTGTGCGTTAGTTCGGTAGATTGAATCTACCGACCGCCGGGCAGAAAGGCACGAATAAGCCTTTTCTGCAGGGGAAAAGAAGGCTTTTAACATGGGGCCATAGTCCAAAGGCAACAGGCGAGCAACTACATGTTACTTGATTGTGGTAAGTGTTGCAAATGCTTACAGCTGAATCCTGGCTAGGTTTGTATACTTTTTATTTAAACTTGTATACAGTGTAACATTCTTCATTCTTCCACTGGGTAGGTATTTTAGTACTTCGGCAATACTGTGCTTCGAAACTTTGGCAATTCAGCTATTCGGAAGTATCAGAATTGCCCGAAATTCGTCCAAATTGACATTCGGAACGAAACGAATTGCACATGTCTAATATTTAGGGGGCAAAGTGGGGCCAAGGGGACTTGATAGTATTTCTAATACTATATGGTCAGGAATTGTCCCTTTAAGAAATGTTATTTCTTTAGTTCTACATGGCATTTTAATGGTCAGAATACTATTTGCTTAATGAAAATTACCCCCATCATGGCATACAATTTTCCAAATCACACAACCAAGGATATGTCCAGTCTTTTTCAGTACCACTTAGTCACAAACTGTGGCAGAACCTACCACCAATTTTGTACATTGTGCCCCCTTCGTGCGTTTTTTCCCCTTTTCCGTGCGGGAGTTACTACATACGAACCCGTTCCATTTATCTCCCGAACAAGGACCACTCCTGTACCCCATTAGAACGTTCACACCAGCAACTTAAGTGTGAAACTGCAAGGTAAGTAATGAATGCGCCCCCTGAGTGGCTGCCGTTTCATTTAACCAAACGCACGTGGTTGACAAAAGAATGGTGGCCATCTTGTCTCCGAACTTGGGCAGCGCAATTAGTAGTCGAGTGCCTGGAACTCTTTTCGGCTAGGCACTCGCACGAACCCCGGTAAAGATTGGACTGCTGCCCATTGCAGCCATGATAAAGATTGGACCCAGCCATGCGAATGTCGTTCAGGAGATATGAACTACCGAACAGGTGGAACATTCGTACCCTGAAACTAAGAGAATCCCTTGCATGATGTTCGCACAGAAACCCCCAAACAGAAACCGGCCAGGATACATTTCCAGGGAACTGTTTTGGGCTAGCGTTTTGTGGCCGGCGTCTAAAACTTTACCCCAGTGGCATTCCAGTTTCACCGAACCGATCTGAATGATCTTTGGATAGGTTATACACTCAGATCGTGGCTACCCAGGGATATAACTTGTGTGGGGTTCCTAGTTATGGTGGGGCACTTTTGTGGTACTGTATATTTTGTATGGATTTTCTGTACCTGAGATATAATTGAATTATAGGTTTTTCTCATGCAATTATCTCTCAGGCATGGAGGATCCTGGGATTGAAACCCCTTTGTTATTGCATTGGCGACCCCATAAAAGCTGTGTGGTTGAAAATGAAATTGACTTCCAGAACTATGTTTCGTCTGGTTACTGGGGGAATGGAGGTCTGTATGCTTAAATGGTTCCAGTCTGGCTGAGAGAAGGAATTAGTGGATGTAACCAGTCAGGTTACCCATGGTGCGCTACACAAACCCTAGCCAAACTTATCGTTCCTATTTGGTTTTTCTTGTATTAAAATAAATAAAAAATATATATATCTCTTTCACTGATGCCATTGTCAATATACATTGTAGTGCTCTAACACTCATATGTGTTCAGTAAAGTCTTAAAAGTGGAACAGTATCAACCCATGTACAGGTTTTGTGTGGTTTAGGAGAGTTACAGGATCAAATACAGGGCTTGCAAATTAAATTCTATATACTTTGTGTTGTCAGGCAAGTCCCCCCCCTCCCCCAAAAAATAAATAAAATAATTATGTAAATATACAAAAATTCACACATATTTAACTAACATTTGATGTATTTAGCACACATTAAGTGTAAACAACTTAATTGTAGATCATTGTACATCTGATCCATCTATTTGGAAAACAGTACATGTTAACACGGGTAGAGTGGCATGTTTGATAAGAATACCTCCATGAGCTGGGATAAGCTGCTTGCAACTAACATGCACTGATTTTAGAGATTTAGGGCTTGTGAAAAAGTCAATAGGCATTGTACAAAGCTGTTTTACAAAGAAGTTACACAATGAATAGCCTCACAGTGACGGTCTCTACCATTCACTTAGAACAGGCAAAATATATTGTGCTGCTTGCAAATTATCAGGAGAAAATGTCCTGGCAAATAAAAAAAGCTTAGTTGAACAGACATTTCTGGAAAGGTTGTGGTTCAAAATATTACCTCAGTTTCAGACCTGTCCACCAATGACAGAAACAGGGCATTGTTGTGTAACAGCAGGAGAGAGAAAAACACCGGAGCCTGCTCTGCATGAACACTGTGACTAGACTCCATCTCTTCTCCCTGTCTGGAAGTTGCAAGGTGACGAGATCTTGAAAATGCACATACCCAATGCGCTTCAAATGCATTCCTACGGATAGGTCACTAATCCCAACTTTGATCATTCAGTGCCTTTGCTATCTTTTTGTATCCTGTTACTAGTTTGTGAAGGGCGATGATCGCTTCTCTTAACTTTGTGGACCATTCTTTTGATTCTAGAATTTCCCTATTTTCACATCAGCTAGAACAGCGCTACTTTGAGGGAAGGTGCCTAAGACTATGCGGAACGATTGCTCCCTGGGAGCCAAGATGAGCAGCCCTTATTTCGTTCACAGGAACTCCCAACACTTGACTGGCCAAACTACTAATCGCTCTTGAACTCTTTTGGGCATCGACCATGTGTGCAGCCGGTTAAAACTTTACCCCAATGGTGTTTTGTGATCTCTTCATGGATCAAGGCGCTGTTTGGCCAACATACTCACTCCGGGGATATATATTTTATGTGTGAGGTCCCTGTATGTTTTTATGATTTTTTTTGTTTTTGATAATTAGTTTAGCGAGCCTCACCCAATTTTCTCCCAGACTCAGAGGCACCAGGGCAGGATCACTTTATTGTCAGTGTATAAAGATCCATTTCGAACCTAATGAAACCAGATTTACTCCCAGCATTAAAGGACCACTATAATGCCAGGAAAACAAACTCGTTTTCCTGGCACTATAGTGTTAATAGGTGTCCCCCACCCTCAGGGTCCCACTCCTGCCGGTCACAAGAGGGGTTAAGGGGTTAAACACTTACGCTGGGGGAGCCCGGCGCTGGGACTCTCCTCCCTCTTCCGGCATCATCCGTCGCATGGGCGGCCAGAGCCGCGCACGCAATCAGTCTATAGGAAAGCATCCTATGGCCGGCAGCGTCTTCTCACAGTGAAGAAAAAAAAAAAAAAAAAAACACAGTGAGAAGCACGGAAGCCCCTCTAACGGCTGTCAATGAGACAGCCACTAGAGACTGGATTAACCCTAGTGTAAACATAGCAATTTCTCCGAAACTGCTAGGTTTACAGCTGCAGGGTTAACCCTAGATGGACCTGGCACCCATACCACTTAATTGAACTGAAGTGGTCTGTGTGTCTATAGTGGTCCTTTAAGTCTCGACTAATGTAGGGGAGGGGGGGGGAGGGGGGAAAACGCTATACCAGTTATAATCACCAGTTTGTCTGGAAGGAGCTATAACACTACAGGAAAGAGAATCCTTGGAGGCGATACTACGGTGGTACGCCACAGTGTTGCAAAACATCACTACAAAGCCATCATAATTGCAGTTTGTGTAATAAAAAAAATAATATTAATGAACGCCAAGTTTGGCCAGCATTTGTAACTAATAAAAAAATAAAAAGACTTGACATACCCCATTTTGAATACCCTGGGTTGTCTACTTTTTCCAAATGGTATGCCATGATGGTGGCAATTTACATTCTTGGGCTGCCATAAGGTCTCAAATGCAAATTTCAATGTGCAAAAACAGAAATGGTCAAGTCTTATATTTGACCCTGTAACGTTCCAAAACACAATGAAACTGTTGTACTTGTTAGACATTACTGAACACAAATAGGAGTGTTTTAGAGCAGTAAAATGCATTATGCGGATATCATCGATGAAGGGTCAGTTTGTGAAAAATGTAAAAAAATAAAACCACACAAATATGAATGCTAACTTTGGCGTGTTTGTGTCTATGCAGCTACTAAAAAAAATAAAAAAATAAAAATTAATATAGCCCATTTTGAATAACCTGGGTTGTCTATTTTCAGTCTATAATGGTATACCAAGATGGTGATAATTTTCATTCCTGGGATCGAAAGCAACATCCTCCCAACATACCAGTCTAGCAAATTTCAATGAAGAAAAAAAAACAAAAAAACAAAAAACAAAAAAAACTGAAAACGGGGAAAGCCCTATATTTGACCCTGTAACTTTCCAAAACTCCATAAAATCAGTACATGGTGTGCACTGTTGTAATCATGAGACATTGCTGAATGCAAATGTGTGATTGCAACCAGTATTATGACATTTACAGTTAAAGTAAAATGCCATGAAGGACTTGAAAAATATAATTTCTTATTTTAATATGGAATCTCATGTGAAATTAAAGCCACTTTTCTCCTGAACAATAAAATATATATATATGCGCACTTAATATGAAAGAGGTAAATTATGGTTGAACAGACATGTCTCTGTCCTTCAGTGGTTAAACCCTGATCAACCATTACTTACCTATCAATAATACATCCAAGTAGTCCAAAATAAATTTTTCACAAAAAAAAAACAAAAACAAAAAAACACACACACACCTCCCCCAGATTCAGATTTAAATATGTTCTAGATTTTAGAGAATCTGTTGTAAAATAAGGTCATTAAAAACCAAGACCAAAATCCAGTCTGATTTATTTCCAGTTAACACTTATTCAATATAGGCACATACATTTAAAATAAGGACATCAACAACAACCTTCTTCGTTTTACTGTATCCTTCGTAAGCATAAAAATTAGATTAGAAACGATACCTGCAAGATTAAGAAGCCATAAAACAAACTAACAATTATTTATACAAGACAAAATGTTTGGGTTTGAAAAAAAAAAAAAAATATATGAGGTTTTGAGCATTTGGGTTGTAGCATTCTGAGCATTACGTCTTCAGACTGCTTAAAAATAAAATATTCCAAGGCATTAAAGACAGACATACTAGACACTTAAATGATCTACTTCTTCTCTGCTATCTGGGCTGCGATTCATCATATATTGAAAATAAACTTAATACATACATGAAAAACAAATTAAAATAATAGTCAATTTCTGATTACTGCCAATATATTAACAAGCCAATAGTAAATCTATTTAAAATAATTCATTAGTTCTAAAAAATATATAAAATGTAGCCATCCCACTTGACCATTACAGAATCTTGACACCTATTTCTAAAATTCGCAATTGATAGTTTCACATCCATGTGGAAAGTTAATGGTATAAATACATATTTCACATCAAGACCACTTTCTAGAGTGTTGCAAAACCATTGTTAAAGGGACACTCCACTCCCCAATTAGAAAATAAATTAACACAAATTTTTTTTCATGGAGGTATGTCTAATAAACAGTTTGCAAATATTGCAGTTCTGCCTTTGCAATCCTTCCCTTTTTAGCCACACCAAGACTTTTTGTTGCTGTCCAGACTTTCCATTGCAGCTCAATGAAGAGTTTGCAAGGCGGGTGCTTATGGGCAAACGCTGATTCTTGAGTTTAGCCCCACTGAGCTAACAAAACCAGGAAGTAGCAGAACCCGTTGTCTTCTTGAAAGCCAAGGGGGCGTTACCAAGGTTAATGAAGAAAAGTCTCAATTTCTATTGAAATCTGCACTTTTTGCAAAATGAACCGAAGCGGACACACTCTTCAAACATTAAAAGCTTTGCAGCAAGCTAAAGTGCATTAGGGGTCTGGAGTGGCCCTTTAAGGTAGGGCTCGACAAATATCAAGCACCAGATCGCCACGGCGACTAGAAAATTTCACCCTGACATCTGGTATTTGCCAGCTTTCTAGTTAGTGTGGGAGGGAGCTTTGACAGCAGCCGTCATGGGAAATATTGGAGGCGGCCGCCTGCAGGAGCATGGTGCGCGGCATGCCAGGAAGCAGTACTCTGTTTGCGGCTGCTCTCTGCTCCCTCAGGTTCATCTAGTGTTAACCCTGCAGCTGCAAACATAGCAGTTTCTCTGAAACTATGTTTCACTAAGGGTTAATCCAGCCTCTAGTGGCTCTCACTGACAGCCGCTAGAGGCGCTTCTGCGCTTCTCCCTGTGAAAATCAGTGAGAAGACGCTGGACGTCCATAGGAAAGCATTGAGAAATGGTTTCCTATGGACTGTGTGAATGCACGCGCGGCTCATGCGGCGCTGACATCCGCAGAGGGAGGAGAGTTCCCCAGAGGTGGAGAGGCCGGCGCTGGAGGGCACTATAGTGGTCCTTTAAGCACTCCAGACATCCACATGCGGTTTTGCATTTTTTCCCCCCCCATGAATCCAAAATAAGGAGTGCAGCCGTTTAGTAACAGATCGACTACTTACCTTGGATCCACTAAGCGTTGTTCCACATCTACGCTCAGCCAAAAGCTCCTAAGCAAGATCTTACCTTGGCTCTCATGAGCCAAGTCCTGCAATGCATGGCTAGCAGCATTGTACTGAGTATGATGCACAAAAGGGAGCAGCACAGGACGTATTTAAACCAAAGAGAAAGTAAATATTGGAGAAGTGGGACAAACAATACCAGGACAAGACGCTTAGTGCTGCAAATGTTTTGTATAACTGATTTAAATACGGTGTAAGTAACAGAGACCTACACCTATAAGTGGAGCGCTCAAGTGTGTGCTTTCATGAACAATATCTACACATTGGTACGCTTTCCCTCTGTTTTTATTTTTGAGAATTACTCCACACCGAAGTAGAAGGGTGGTGCTACCATTATAAGCACACAAGCTTATATACGGAGCCAGTGTTTCCAAATACAGGCTCCTTGGAATGTGAGTGTACCAGCCATTAAGATTACACTACTATTATTGCACTGTCACTTTGTATATACCATCTGCACTATATTGTATTCTTCTGGATTCTTTTACATGTACCATGATATGAAACAACGCTTGGTAAGCAATATATAAGTTTGAGCGCTCCACTTATAGGTGTAGGCCTCTGTTACTTACACCGTATTTAAATCTACGATTTTGTCAAGTGGGATAGAGGATATTTCCACACAAGTGTATAGAGCAGCCTGAAAATCACTTGCACTTTGTAAAGCACCTTGTTACACACATTCCTCCGTAAAAAGAGGTCAACTTTGATTGGTTTTGTATAACTAGTGCACAAAATTAAAAATGCAAGCAGGCCAACACCTATAAAATGTTTACACGTTATCTTGGTGCCCAGAGTGTCTCTTTAAAGCTACCCCAACTTAAAAATAAAACCTAATAGATTTTGTCGCTAGAACTTCCCATTTAAAATGAGATTTGGCAACAGATGCTAGATTAGCCTTTACTTGTAGAACAGGATAAAACCAAACACTTTTTTTTTTTTTTTTTAAACAACCTTAAAATGTTTAAAGTGGACAAATTAAACAATACCACAATGGTAAATAATTTGACATCAGTAGTCCTGATAAAACTTAAAATTCCAATTGACAAATTTGAGGTAGATAACCATTTTAAACAAACACTTGAAATTATGCATATTGAGAGAAAAACAGATTCAGAAATGAAATGGTTAAACAAACTAAATCAAGAATATATAGATTCTTCAAGCAAGTGTTTTATTTAAAAAACAAAAGGTCATGAAAACACCATAAATAGTCCCCAATTTAAATTGGAAGTTACAAAAGACAATGTAATATTTGCATTGCAACTTGTATATTGCCTCTAGTTTATCTTTATGAAAAGAAAGATAAAACAAGATATTGGGCTAATTTGTATGTATTGATTTGGCATTCTTACACAATGAAAATGTGCAAAATGTAACATTAAAACTGGATGGTACTAAACACATACTGTTAGGTTGTTTAGAGGTGTCCTGTAAACAGAAAGTCTGAGGAGGGGAAAAAAAAAAAATCATTAATAGCAGGATACTTAAAAATTAAGATGTGCTTACTTGTTTAAGATTTTACTGTTTATTAGTAAGCAAGGGTGTTAAGAGAAAAAGTTTAATAACTTCATTGTCCCCTGACCAAGCTGACCAGAGTAACAAATACACAAATTAACCACATCAAGCACACACACTAATGCAGATTTTGATTAAATAGTGTACTTAATGTAGTCCCATTGACTTTTTATTACAGTAAAATAGTTTCAAAGACTGCCTATATATTGAGGTTCTATTCAGTGTAAGTTTGTGCTACAGAGGCAAAAAGGACAAAATTACTCAATTTTGTTATGAATTCTGTTCGCGCACATTTCCTGAGCTGCTTTCCCTTTTTCAAGTTTCCTTGTGGAACCACCCCATTTATTTGCAATTAAAAAGGAACAAGAACACCCACGCCCCCCAAAAGGAGAGAAAAAAAAAAATACAAATCCTCAAATCAGATCAAAATAAGATCCTCAAGCAACAAGAGGAAAGGTGCACAGACCTTTACGTGCCCTCCCAAAACAGGAATAAAGCACTCTGTTGAAATTCATTTGAAGGAACGAGAGAAAAACAAAAATGAAATCAACTAATGGAATTTCTAAAACGGTTAGATAAATGTAAAATGTCTCAGCAAACTTCAAATCAAATCTGATCCATCATCGTGCCATGAATTATTTTCATTGCTTCACAGCAAAATCTAAAATAAAATTCTATTTTTACATCAACATTAAGTTACATCCTATAAGATAACTCTGATATCAAGTTATTCTGACAAAAACAGATTTTTGTTTTCTCCCGCATAGTAAAACACAAGTCATTATTCACCACTGGTGAGTAGCGCTTGGAACATTCAAGAAGTGTCACATTTATATCTTATAGTCTTTCAAAGGGGAGTTTATAAATGGACCCAACTTGGCAATGCAGTGGAATCCTTTTATGTCCAACTCAAGGCTGCATGGGGCAAGTAAGCCATAATTTCCTTCTAAAAATCTTACACAATACTGAAAGAAATTAACTTATCCAGATCCCACACTGCTTACTTTAGCAGCATTTACCCCAGGATTTCGAAGAACACAGAGCTAAGAAAGAAAACATCTGCAGGATTACTCACAAAACTTCAAACAAAAAACAAAGTTAAAAAAAAAAATTAAAAAAAATAAATTTATATATACATATACACACACACACACACACCTGGGGCGGGGGGAAATTAACAAAACACCTCTGCTCCAGTCACAGCTTGGCTATTTTAGCCTGATTTTTACAACTAATTTAACGTGTTAAAATTGGATTTTAGCAAATAAAAACCCTGCACTGTTCACTCAAAAACATTTCAGCACTGGGACAAGAATACCATTTACACAGTAGTTTTAGAACGTGTACTTCTTCCTTTGCTTTTTGAGTCAACGGCAGTATTGTTTGGATTGGCTTTATGATTTTTTTTATGCTGATCCAAATCAGTTTTTTTGGCAAATGCTTTGCCGCACTTATTACATTTAAGTAAAGAGAAGTTTTTGGTCACTTTGACTTCAATGCTGGTATCTCCTCCCTCCCATTTCTTACTCTGAGAAACAGAGGCTCCATCTAGTTTCAAATTAGAACGTTTCATCTTGTCTTTTTGTGGGTTTCTTTTGCCCACCTTTTCCAGAATGGACTCGATGGGCTTTTTTATTGCCCGGCTTTCCAAGTTTGCAGTAATTTTTACCAGAGCTCTTTGTGTCCTTTTGTGCACCACTGTAATATGTCGTATGACATCCCGCTTGCGGCGCGTCTCATAGGAGCATAGAGGGCACCTATAGAACTTCACGTAGATGCTACTTCCATCCGTGTGCAGCTCTATGTGCTTTGCTAGATTCTGCTTGGATGTGAACTGACGTTTACACAGTTTACAATACAGTTGTTTGAAGTCGAAGCCAGCTGAAAACTTTGGCTTCTTCATACATTTCTTCACCCCTGCTATAGGTGAGCTACTTTTGGGAGAACCCGTTTCACTTTTAGCTTTGTTCTTCTGAGTAGCATGGTTGCTCTTTTTCTCATTTGCACTCGTCGTCCCTTTTAATTCACTCTGCGGAGAACCAGAAGATGAAGAGTCTACAGAGTTTGAGTTTTCAAATTTGACTTTGCCATTTGTTTTAGTAGCATGATCTTGCTTGGAATCTGCTGTACAAACAGCTGTTTTATGGACAATTTGTACATGTTTTCTCAGCAGGTATTGAGATGTATATCGTCTCTTGCAATATGGACATTTGCAAGAACTTAGACTGAAGTCTGAATTTACAGATTTAGGGGTACGCGGTATAGACTTTACCGATTTTTTAGGAGATGCAGTACTCATGGATATATTTTTAATAGATTTTGCAGGTGTTTCGGGAGTTATTGAATCTCGTTTCAGTCCTTTGTGAACTTCATCAATGTGCCTTCGTACATTGGCTTTTGTTGCAAAAGATTTATTGCACATTGGACAGCTTTTGCCAACGGTCATATGAACCAGTCTCATGTGACTTTGTGCAGAAGAGTCCGTAGGTATACTTTGTATCTCAATGAATTTCTTTATATCCTCCAATTTTTTCTTGTGTACTTTTTTAATGTGCCGACGAATGCTTCTTCTGCAGTGAAAGTTTTTCTTGCAAATGCGACATGAAAATGGATTCTCGCCACCAGATGCCACAGGTTGTGTCATCAAGTCAGACAACTGACTTTTGGCTTCAGCTGGAGTAGTGAATAAATCATCTATTTTAACACTTTCTGTAGAAGTGGATTCTTCAAACTCTTTTGCTGTTGTACAGTCAGACTTCGGAACAGACCCAGACGGTTCAGTTTGAACATCCACTACCTCAGATGTGTTGTTCCTAGAAGCTCTGGTTTCCCCAGCTGGGGTAACAAACTGGAAGACTGCATTACGATTGGACTGAATAGGCTCCAGATTTATTACATATTCAGGTTGCTCTTTTGGATAAATTGTATCCAAGAGGTTTCTCATGGACTCTGTCTGTTTATTGCCCTCATAGATGGGATCTGAAAACAAACAAAAACCATCTTAAGACATTGAAAATAATCCAAACTGCATTAGTAAGACAGAGGATAAATAAGAAACAATGATATAAAGAGATTTTGGCCCGGGCTAGATGAAGCTGCAGAAAGCATTCAACCTGTATTTTTCTCACTGAACTTTAATTTTTCTTTATTTAAGCTAAAGAACAAAATTAGCATTTGTAGACTAGATAAATTTGCATGATTTCAAACCTGGTTGTGTTCTAAAAGTAGCAAATAAACAGAAGGGTGTAGTACTACAGCAAAAAAATAAATAAATCATTGTGCATCACACAGTACATAAAACACAGAAGCAAGAAAGTAGTCTGTTCTTAAAAACTTACTCTCATCGATCCGACCTTTCGTTAAGCAGTAGAACTGCTTGTGAGTTATTAGATTTGGGAGACCTCTGAAGAGGCTGCGACAGGTTTTGCATTCAAATATTGTATCCACCTCTTTTAACAACATGTTTTTCAGCTGGGTAGTTCCTACAAGAAATAGATATATTTCAACATTACATATTAAATATTAAATGTTTAGACACAAGCAACAATAATGTTCACAATAAACAATGTGTAATGTTATCAATCTACACTACAGATATAAAATGAACATTACGTTTTTAGAAGAGGCCATTTTTGTTCTTTACTGGACTGCAATATTTATTTTTAATGTACACACAGTTCATTAAAAATCTCCTAGGCTGGTTGCTAGTTTGAAATAACAGAAAGCAAAACTCCAGGCTGAAAAAGTTTAATGGTTTGTAAAGCATTGGCTTGCGCTTACAAATGGTTTGAGAAAGGAAGATCGTTTCTTTCAGAGTATATTCCACCACAGCTTAACTGGCATTTCCCCTATCAGAACTGTCTATTTGTGGTGCAGTAACAATGCAGTTTTAGAAAAAATTACATGTAGATATATGCGCCTTTAAAAAAAAGGAGAGAACAAAAGGAAAAATCATACCTGATCGGAAACATTCAATAATTTGTAGGATACCAGACTTTGCAGTTTGCACAGGTTGTTGTAATAGAGGAGGGTCGCCAGGCTCCAACAATGGAACTGGAAAGATTAAGAATAAAATAAAAAATAAAGTAAAATAGATTTCTACTGCTTATTACAAACAAAAAATGAAATAGCCTTCCCCTAACCCCTCCCCTCAACACACTTTGTTCCATTTCTTAGATAAATTTAAAGAATATGAGGAAAATTTGTACCCTGCTCACAACAGTATTAAATGGGAAGTTCGTGACAGGATGAGTGTGTCTCTCAGTCCAAGGTTTCCTCATCGAAGCCAAGGGGCAAAGCGGGGCATGAGCTGTCTTCAAGACTTCAGAGTGAAAAATTTGTAAATGGTTGAAATCTTTATGGCAAGATGTCACCCTAGACATCCGAGCCCCACAGCTTCATTGAAATTAAATGTTCCAGTGCCCAAAGTGCTCACAGAGACATTTCTTATTATGATGACCATTTCCATTAGAGGTTAGTAATGTCAGCAAGTATATATATATTTTTTTATTATTATTATTTATTTATTGGTGGTGGGGAGAATTTCCCAACAGCAATTTGAAAACTGCTCAGTAAAACTTGTCATATGAAACCAGTACAGAAAGGTAATTAAAATTGGCAAAAATGTACATAAGAAGAAATATGGAAACCATAGGCATGCAACCCATAATAAGCCATACTTTATATAGTGCACAATGGAACTAAATCCGTTTCGGAACAAACTTGTTGCTTTCATTCCATGATGCATGGTAATCGTTCAGAACAGTGTATTGTTATGTTCTAGTTAACGTCAGGCTTTATGCTTCTACAGGACACAATACACAGTTATCATGATCGTGCCAGAAAATAACCAGTAGTAAATATGGAAACCACAGCATTAGAAACTCACAACAGGAAACCACCTGCACCATTGACTGCATGCAAAACAAGAATATTCTCTAAGAATAGCAGTAACACAAGAAGCAATTTGCACCAGTTTCTCAAATAAGATTTCTTAGGTTATTCGGGTAAAGAGTTTGGGGGGGGGGGCAAGGAGGGCGGAGATGTTTTTTTAAATTCCAGATCGTGCAGGACAAAAACAAACAACAAAAAACAACATTTCCAATGGATGGCAACAGGAGACTACTGGCACCGTTACCACTACAGTAGGCTGTTTAGATGCCTATACTCAGAAAACACTGCAATAGTAAAAAAAAAAAAAAAATTGGATACACGTAGAGAATCTACAATGTTTAAACAGATAATATGAGGAAGAGGTCTGCTGCCCTGCTCTTCTACCACATGAAGGTTAAAAAAAAAAAAAAACACAAACTAGGTTTATAACTGAAGGGTGTCTTCAACATTACTGCCTACTTGACTATTTTGCTATTCAAGCTTTTGTCTTCACCTATGCAGAAAAGGGTGACTACACAATATCAGCACTGCTACCCCTGAGGTTACAAATGCTTATTTTTTTGGATGGCAAAGAAATATATTTAAAAAAAAAAAAAGACACTGACGTGGTTCACAGCAACCATGGTGATGATGATCGGTCTGGCAATACTTGTCCCTTAAATACATTTTCTGTGTAGGAGCCAACTTTGCTTCTTGAGTATCCGTTTCATTTTTGCTCTGCTAAAAACAAACATACTGGTGATTAACAAACAAACAAACAAAATTAAATAAATACAAGTCAAAATTCACCAATACAAACACTTCAAAAACACACATGCTTTTTTTTTTTTTTTTTAAAGAGATCACATGCAGGGGATGCATTTAAGAACACATCTATACACACATAAGTTTGTATAATACCTTATTGCGCAAAAAGTGTGTCTTCCGAAGTGTACTGATATTTTTTTCCATGGTTTAATTTAAGGTAAAGCCAGTATTTACTATACTTGCTGCGAAAGACTGGAAGATAAAAGTATATTTACATAAACACCACGAACAGAAGGTGAAAAGAATATTTGGCACAGAACTGAGCTATTCTATATCATGGCATCATATTTTCTCTTTGGGTACTAGGACAATAAAAAAAAAAAAAGTATATGCCTTTTAAAATCCACCAGAAAATATGTACTGTTCAGTAGTGTTTTCCAAGATAGTATTGAGATGGGAAGAAATTTGCAGCTAACGAAAAGGAAATCTGGCAAAATGCAAAGAAATAACACTTTGAAACATTTAAAGGGACACTATGGTCACCAGAACAACTGCAGCTTAATGTAGTTCTGCTGTGTATGGTATGTACCTGCAGACATTTTAATTGAAACACTGCCTTTTCAGAGAAAACACTGTGTTTACATTACGGTCTAGTAACACCATTGAAGATTCCCAATTGATTGCCACTGATTCAATGCATATCTATGAGGAGATGCTGAATGGCGCCGCGTTTTGGATTGGCTGAGATAGTCAATTTTGATGATCTCAGTCTAGGGGGTCGGAGCCATCCTTGACTGACTGGCTTGGCGCTGGAATAAAAAGGAGTAAAATCCAAAAATTGCTTTGGGTGAGAGGGCGGTGCGGGGGGAGGGGACAGGAAAACGTAATTGTGTCTTCACAGCAATAGTGACAGGAAAATCAACTTGTAAAAAAAAAAAAAATTTTTTTTTTTTTTGTTTTATAATTTCCCAGTGGATAAACAGGGGCCTCTTGCCCATCATTAGTTGCCTAGGACAAAGTTAACAGACCTGTGTCACATTCATGGTTTGACAATTTTACACAAAACAAATATTCAATGGCATTTGTTAAACAAAATTCCAATTTAACAAGTTACAAGAGTTTACAATTCAGAAAAAGTTGATTGGCAAAGACACAGGTTTTTCTTCAGGTACAATAAATTAAGCTTTCTCTGCTCTCAATCAATAACAGACTGTTTATTTGCAATGATTATAGAAAGTTCCAGTAGTTATGTGCACATTCTTTTCAAACAGTTTTCATTAATTAAATAAAAAATAAAATAAAAAAATAACTTTGTAAAAAAGAAAATTAAGGGAAAATGGTAGATTTGGATGTAATTTAGAATTGGAATCTCAATAATAGAGATTCAGTATTCTTTCATGCAATGAAACTGAATATAGAAGCAAAAATAAATTGCATAAACATTTAGAAAGTTTTGCATTATTTTTTTTAACAATGTTTTGTATTCAAGGGATACATTACATTGTACATGGGCTTTGGCGGCTTTTAACTGCACATTGGTACTTGGTTTCTAGGGATGCTCCAAACACCAGGATGTAAAGGGCATTGATAGGTTAAAAACAGAGCAGTCCTCATCTTGCACACAGTTGCAAAAAATTGTAGCAAATGGTGGTGGTTGGATGCTGCAAACATAAACCTGACCCTTTTGCACCTGCAGCCTTGGTGCAATCCTTTTAAACTGTCCAGCTTCCACTCCCAAATAAAAGGAACTTCAGCTACCGTTGCGAATATACACTGTCAGCAAGTTGGGTGAATGTGATGCATTGTGTAGTAAGTTGAAAGTCTTCTAGAATGTAGAAGTGTATTATATTAAGCGATACAAAGCAAAAAGTGTGAACATTTATTATTTATATCAAATGTACTTAAAACATAGCTACTTAGGCACTGAAACTTTGAAGCATGTTGGAGAAAGGATGATTGACTATCCTTTTTTATATCTAATGGTCTAATTAATAACAAAGTTGGCTGGAAGATGGAATACAGACCAGGTGACACCCACAAAACACTGGAATACCAGAGTTGTGCCCATTTAAAAATGCCACCATTCGTGATTATTCTTAGACCGCATTTATCTTGATGCCAGTAATGTTGTACAATACAAGGCATAAAATATTAGAAAAACTCAGATTATAACGTCTCAGACGTACCAATGGTATTTCGACCCAATTAACAATAGATATTTCCTCTTCATTCATTAAATGAAAAAGGTTTGATTACATATCAAAATCTTTTTGGATACAAATGAACACAATGCAAATGTAGTACTCTGCAGAGTGTAGTCAGAATAGTTTTGCATTAAAATATTGCATTCCCTTTATATACTCTAATCCATTTGTAATCTACATCACTAAGAACTGTACAGAGGACATGCACAAGTCAAGGACCTTTCATCCGCATATTGCACACACTTTGCATTGGAAGCTGCTAAATGTGTGCACCCACTAGACAAATTTGCTTTGTCCTTCAATATGGATGCCACACTGGATGCATTGTGGGAAGAAAAATGCATGTAAAGACTACAGATGAGTGAATCGTGTGCATATTTGCAGTTGGTTCCATAAATATACAAGCTCAATACTAAATCTAGGAAATTAAACCTTATCCATTTGTTAAAAATCAATTTAGCTATGATGCCTACAATACTACTACCAGATATGATTCAAGAAGATCAGCAGTTACAAGAATCAAAGACTGACACTGAAACCAAAAACCATGGATTTGTCATTTTGATGCATGGGTCACACAGACCCATGAATGTATTTCTCTGCAAGGGATGCTCTCATAGCAATTATATGCACAAAATGTCACAACACTCAAGCATCAATGTGTGACTATCCAAATAATCATGAAAACTTTGACGGTATGCTAAACTAAAACTGATAATCAAATTAAGATAAAATAGGCTGTGTGTTACGTGTGGACAGAACAGGTTCAAGTTTGTACAATACAATGTCTCTTTAATGGAGATTTAATACAAGTGCACCTGCTGTAACTATAGTACTAACAATTAAAAAAAAAACAAGGAAAAAAAAAAAACTGTTAAAACAGGAATGGTTCAGACACACATGCCAAGTCTGCACTTATAACAGTTGTAAGAAAAAATAAATCCTTTTGATCCAAAGCGCCTGTCGGCTAATGAGTTTACAGCACCTGCATATTTTGCTCCATAAAGAAACTTTCAATACTATGTTGCATGTCTATCATGTTACCACGTTTAAAAACAAAAATTATGTGTTACAATGTTTCATAAATCTCAAAAGAACCAAAATCACAATTTTGAATCCTACTCCCCCCACCCCCCATGAATTAATGTTCTGAGACCCATTATTCTCCAAGGGTGGTAGCCCCCCTCCCTCCCAGCCCTGGATGGTTACAGTTGGTTGTCCTTGGTGAGGATAGAGAGCTGATCATGCTCCCCCCTTGGTGGTTACAGTGGGCTCTCCTTGGTGAGAGCTCATCATGCTCCCCCAAGGTGGCAGTCCTGGATGGTGGCAGTGGGCTCTCCTTGGTGAGAGCTTATCATGCTCCCCCAGGGTGGCAGCCCCCCTCCCTCCCAGCCCTGGATGGTTACAGTGGGTTTTCCTTGGTGAGAGCTGATCATGCCCCCCTGGGTGGCAGCCCTGGATGGTTACAGTGGGCTTCCAACCCTGGATGGTTACAGAGGGCTCTCCTTGGTGAGAGCTGATCATGCCCCCCCTGGGTGGCATCCCTGGATGGTTACAGTGGGCTCCCAACCCTGGATGGTTACAGTGGGCTCTCCTTGGTGAGAGCTGATCATGCTCCCCCAGGGTGGCAGTCCTGGATGGTTACAGTGGGCTCTCCTTGGTGAGAGCTGATCATGCTCCCCAAGGGTGGCAGCCCCCCTCCCTCCCAGCCCTGGATGGTTACAGTGGGTTTTCCTTGGTGAGAGCTGATCATGTCCCCCTGGGTGGAAACCCTGGATGGTTACAGTGGGCTCTCCTGGGTGACAGCTGATCATGCCCCCCCTGGATGGTTACAGGGGGCTGCCCCTGGATGGTTACAGGGGGCTGCCCCTGGATGGTTACAGGGGGCTGCCCCTGGATGGTTACAGGGGGCTGCCCCTGGATGAGAGCCTATCATGCCCCCCAGGGTGGCAGTCCTGGGTGGTTACAGTGGGCTCTCCCTGGGTGAGAGACGATCATGCCCCCCCAGGGTGGCAGTCCTGGGTGGTTACAGGGGGCTCTCCTGGGTGAGAGCCGATCATGCCCCCCAGGGTGGCAGTCCTGGATGGTTACAGCGGGCTCTCCTGGGTGAGAGCCAATCATGCCCCCCAGGTTGGCAGTCCTGGATGGTTACAGTGGGCTCTCCTGGGTGAGAGCCGATCATGCCCCCCAGGGTGGCAGTCCTGGGTGAGAGCCGATCATGCCCCCCAGGGTGGCAGTCCGGGGGGGATACATTACAGGGGGCTCTCCCCGGGGGTTACGTCCACAGGGGGCTTTCTCGGGAGTTACATTACAGGGAGCTCTCCCGGGGGTTACAGGGGCTCCGGGGGTTATTACATTACAGGGGCTCTCGGAGGGTTACATTACAGGGGGCTCCGGGGGTTGTGCAGGGGGCTCAGTGGTTATTACGGGGGCTCTCGAGGGAGGGAGGTTACATTACAGGGGCTCTCCGGGGAGGGTTACGTACAGGGGCTCTCCCGGGGGTTACATTGGGGGCTCTCCCGGGGAGGGGGGATACGACTGGGGCTCTCCGGGGGAGGGATACATTACAGGGGAGAATGTCCCGGGGGAGGGTTACATTACAGGGGGCTCTCGGGGGTTACAGTGGGCTCTCCCTGGGGGTTACAGTGGGCTCTCCCTGGGGGTGCAGTGGTTTCTCCCTGGGGGTTACAGTGGGCTCTCTCCTGGGGGGAAGGGGGGTTACAGTGGGCTCTCCCTGGGTGAGAGCTGATCATGCGCTCCCAGCCCGCCATGGACATTGCGCACTCAGCACGCACACAGGGGCCCCGCTCCCCGGCCCCTCTCCCCCCATACTGGGCCCCCCAGAGCCTCTCCCAGCACACAGCCCGGGCCCCCACCTCCCCTGACACCTGCCCTGCGGCAGCCCAGGCCGGGGCTCAGTCCGTGTCGCGGCCCGGGGCAGGTGGCACAGGCGGCGGGGAGCCCAGTCAGTGCCATTGTCCCCCGGAGCGGGCTGGGTCCCGGGGGGGCCCGGGGAGGAGGGGGGAGGTGTCCGAGGCCGGGCTGTGTGTGGGCGCAGTGAGAGAGAGAGAGAGGGGGAGCTCCCGGCAGACAGACAGACAGACTCGCACCGCGGGCAGCTTTACCTGAGACTCGGCGGACAGGACCCGCAACATGGCTCCGGGGTGCGGAGGAGGAGGAGGAGGACAGCTCGGCCGCGGGGACTCTCACACACACACTGACCGGCCGGGGCGCACCGACAACCGGAGCGACTTCTCAGCCCCGGGCCGCCGGCAGAGGGAGGGGGCAGCGCGTCATCAGTCCGCGCCCGAGTCCACCGGCACGAGGCTGCGCGTCTCCAATGGCAACGGCGCGCGGGTTCCTAGGGAGCCGGGGGGAGACCGTGGCGCCAGAGCCGGCTAGTGAGCGCGAGCGCATCGCTCGAGGACAGGGGATAGCAAGAGGCTGGCAGACAAGAGTGCGTGCAGGGCGCCACGCACGCTACGTCACGCACGTCACCCTCCCCTTACATAAAGCGCGCTCCCTGGGCTAGAACTCTCCAGCTGTGACAAGGGACAGTGTGTGAGAGGAGGGGGGGGGAGACCAGTTATACTGACTGACTGACTGACTGACTGACTGACCAGGAGACAAGGCAACTGACAGACATAAAAATATCAAAATCATATATCAATAAATAATAATATAAATCAAGAAAAAAATATCATCATAATTATATTAATCAGATATTTATCAATATAAAAATAATATCAAGATAATTATATGGAAAGGGACATTTATCAAGAAAAAAATAATATATCAAGAAAAAAAAATATCAAAATTATATTAATGAGACATTTACCAATAAAGACAAATATCAAGATAATATATATGAAAAGGGACATTTATCAATAAAAAAATAATATATCAAGAAAAAAAAATATCATCAATTATATTAATAAGACATTTACCAATAAAGACAAATATCAAGATAATTATATGGAAAGGGACATTTATCAATAAAAAAATAATATATCAAGAAAATTTTTTTAAATTATATTAATGAGACATTTATCAATAAAGACAAATATCAAGATAATATATATGAAAAGGGACATTTATCAATATAAAATGATATATCAAGAAAAAAATATCAAAATTATATTAATGAGACATTTATCAATAAAGTCAAATATCAAGATAATATATATGAAAAGGGACATTTATCAATAAAAAAATAATATATCAAGAAAAAAATATAAAAATTATATTAATGAGACATTTATCAATAAAGTCAAATATCAAGATAATATATATGAAAAGGGACATTTATCAATAAAAAAATAATATATCAAGAAAAAAATATAAAAATTATATTAATGAGACATTTATCAATAAAGTCAAATATCAAGATAATATATATGAAAAGGGACATTTATCAATAAAAAAATAATATATCAAGAAAAAAATATAAAAATTATATTAATGAGACATTTATCAATAAAGTCAAATATCAAGATAATATATATGAAAAGGGACATTTATCAATAAAAAAATAATATATCAAGAAACAAATATCAATTATATTAATGAGACATTTACAATAAAGAAAAATATCAAGATAATTATATGAAAAGAGGACATTTATCCAATAGAAATATATATAATGAAAAAAAAATCATCATAATTATGTTAATGAGACATTTATCAATAAAGAAAAATATCAAGATAATTATATGAAAAGGGACATTTTATCAATAAAAATTATGAAACAAGAAGAAATGGCATAATAATTATATTGAGACATTTACCAATAAAGAAAATATCGAATAGTATATAGAAAGGGACATTTATCAATAAGAAAATATATATAATGAAAAAATCATCCATAATTATATGTGGGAGACATTTATCAATAAAGAAAAATATCCAGAATAGTACATATGAAAAAGGGACATTTATCAATAAAAAATTGTAAAACAAAAGGAAGAAAGTAATAGCATATAATTTATGTTTGGAGACATTTACCAATAAAAAGAAAAAAATATCAAGATAATTATATAGAAAGGGACATTTATCAAGAAAAAAATATATATCAAGAAAAAAATATCATCATAATTATCTTAATGATACATCTATCAATAAAGAAAATATCAAGATAATATATATGAAAAGGGACATTTATTGATTGATAAAAATTCAAGAAAAAATATACAGATAAAGGGGAAATTTGTTAATAAGGGGAAATTTATCAAGAAAAAAAAATTTATCAAGAAAAAAAAATCAATATAATTTTATTGATAAGGGGACATTTATCAATAAAAAAATGAATTTATCGAGAAAAAATATAATGATAACTTTAATAATAAGGGGACACATATCAATAAATCATTTATCAATAAAAAATATAAGGGGAACTTCATCAAGAAAAAAAATACATTATCAAAAAATATATAGATAACATTTATTAATAAGGGGAACGTTATCAAGTAGAAAAAAGTTATCAAGAAAAAATATAGTTAACATTTATTAATAAGGGGAACGTTACCAAGAAAAAAATAATTTATCAAGAAAAAATTATAAATTAATAATTTTACAAATGTATAAATAAAATACTTTTTTTTTCTAAATACATTATTTTAAGTAACTGTAAATGAAGAGAACATTGTAAATAGGTAAGCATTTTATAAAAAAAAAAAAAAAAAAAGAGGCGGTTTTACATTTAAAAGTAAAAACCATGTTTGTAATGAAAGAGCATTTTTTAATGAAACCTATTAATGTAAGGCCAGGATAACTAAATATTAATTAACTAAAAGCAATTTATAGAGAAAATGTTTATCTGTACGACTAAATTAAAGAAAAAGCTAAATGTATTCATACTTACCGTAATTTTCTTTTCCTGGTTATTGTTAATTGCAGAATTTAAATAATGTGTTAGCTCCTCCCTCTAGCAAATAGGACAGGGAAAAAAATTTTCAAGTGAGCAATTAACCAATTAGATCTAAGTCATAAAAGATCCCCTGATCACCAATTTATATCATTCTTCATCAGGGAATGAAGGATCTGGGAAATAAATTGGAAGAACAATCTCATGATTTAAATCAGTGGTAGTCAACCTTTTTCCACTTACCGCCCACTAATGCATCTTTCTTGATGGAAAAATTTCCTTACCGCCCACCAGTTTTCGCGCAAGCGCGGAATATTTTTTAGAAAGGAGGGTGTTTTAAAAAATACATAAATGAACGTACATTTATCTTTTTATTTCTACTTTATGCATGTTTATAATGTTTTTAACTTTATAAAGTTTAATGAGGAAGCAATAAAGTAAATTGAACTTACCTTTACTAGTGATTAATGAGATCCTTGAGGTTGATGCTGCGAGACTAAATATTTGATATCTGGTTCGATTTTCATAAGGAACAAACGAAGGTCTCCTCTTTCAGTGATAATCGGAAGACTTCTTTGTTTGCTCATAAAATGATTTCTCATCTGTGCGTCAGCTCCCCTCCTCTCCCTCCTCAATTCCCCTTCCCACCTTTTTCCCCTTTTTTTCTATTTTTTAACCTTCCTTATAGCAATGCCCAGTAGGAAGGCTGAGCTAGGTAGCCCACTTACTATTATTAGTCAACAACAATTCTCTCCTTTTCCTTTTCTTTCCTTCTCCTTTTTTACAAGTACTCTACTCCTTCTTTCCTCTATACTAGAAGTACTCTACTCCTTCTTTCCCCTATACTAGAAGTACTCTACTCCTTCTTTCCCCTATACTAGAAGTACTCTACTCCTTCTTTCTCCTATTCTACAAGTACTCTGCACCTTCTTTCTTCTATTCTACAAGTACTCTGCTCACAGGCAAACACATACACACACACACACTCACATTGAAACACATACACACAAATATACACATACTCACACATGCACTTACAGACACTCACACATGCACAGACAGACCCACAGACACACACACACTTACTGACACACACACATACACTTACAGACAGACACATACACTTACAGACAGACACATACACTTACAGACAGACACATACACTTACAGACACAGACACACACATACACTTACAGACACAGACACACACATACACTTACAGACACACACACATACACTTACAGACACACACACATACACACACACACACATACACTTAGAGACAAACACATGTACACACAAATTATTAATATTAAATATCCACCCAGCCTCCCTACCTGGAGAGCTGGTGTGGATCTGTCCCTGGGGTCCAGTGGGCTTCACTTAGGCGGGCGGCTAATCAGACGCAGCGAGGGAGCTCTAACCTCTCTGCTCTGCTCCCTCGCGGACTGTCTACGGATGCCGGGAGCCGGAATATGACATCATATTCCGGCTCCCGCGGCATCAGCAAACATCGCGCGAGGGAGCAGAGCAGAGAGGTTAGAGCTCCCTCGCCACGACTGATTAGAACGCTGCCATGCCGGGGGGTCCAGAAGGTGGCCTGGCAGGAGGGAGCGCTTCCTCCTGCCGGTCACTGAAGACTTGCGCATGCAGAGCCGCTCGCGCCCGCCCAAAAGGAGAAATCCTCTTAAAAAGAGGATTTAGCCTCAGAAATCCCTACCGCCCACCTGGAATCCTAAAACGCCCACTAGTGGGCGGTAGGGACCAGGTTGACGACCCATGATTTAAATGATATGTGGAAACCACTTTTGGTAAAACCTTGTCATGATAAAAGGACGCATAAAGTTCCTCAGACGATAGTACCTTAATGTCTGCCATTCTTCTGGCTGAAGCTAAAGCCAGTAGTAGAAGTGTTTTCTGAGATAGAGATAAAATCAAAATATCTTCCAGAGGTTCAAAAGGATTTTCTGCTAGTGCATGTAGAACCAGAGGCAAATCCCAAGGAGTCGTAAATGTGTGTAATCTAGGTATAAATCTGATTACCATGAAGTGTATTACCATGGGATGTACCTGAATACCGAAGAAGTATATTACCATGGGATGTTCAGCCCATCTACTCCCTGAGAGAGATGAGATAGTGTAGCGTTACTCACCTTCTCCAGGGGCCGGCCGCGGTCCTCTCTTCAAGCCGCGCGCGGTCATGCTGCTGCACGAGCCGCGCGCGGCTCATCCGACGGCTCCACTAGCAAGGCGGGCAGTGACCGCGAGAAGCGGTCACGTGTCCCGCCTGAATCTAAGAGCGCGCCGCAAGTCTCGGGCGCGCTCTTAAAGAGACAGTGGGAGCCTAAATTGTCAAAAGGCTCCCATTGGCCCCTGTCATGCCACACTCCCCATACACTTACCTTTTGGGGGTGTGGATATGACAGGAGCCAATCACATTAGTTTTGAAGCTATTTTTTATATTATACGTCGAGTCTGGCCATTCTAAGGTCCGGTAGACGTATCTCTCCTCTGTGTTGTCTTCTGTTTAGCTGAATCCTGCGTGTTGGGGTTAGTGATGTACCGAACGGTTCGCTGGCGAACGGTTCCTGGCGAACATAGCATGTTCGCTGTCACACGGGCGTATGCAACATATGTGCCGGGTTTGACCTACCTCTATTCGGCCATCATCA